GGTGAAACCCTAAGGGTGCTTGTGTGTAATGTGTTGTCACTTTACATGCATTTGTCTTGTATTAGGTCATGTCTATTTGTTTGATTTTGTCTTATCATACAAACCCTAATTTTACTAAACATGTATAATGCGATAAATTGCGTAAAGTAAATCTAAGTTATTACAACAATATTATGGGAGGAGGGATACAAGTTTTGAATTGGGGATATTGCTCAAAATAAAACCCTAAAAAATTATTACAACCCAATTAAAATATTGTACAATAAATAAATAAATATACAGTATTTAAATATGCAATAAAATGTATGGATGCAAAATGTTTTTGTATTTATTTTATGTATGTAAAAATAAAATTATTTAATTCCTAAAAATAAAAAATAAAAAATTATTATTTTTTGAAAGGGTGAAAAACCCTAGTTTTTGATTTAAAAGAAAATTAGGTTTTCTAATATTTATTTGTCCATTTTTGTACTAGAAATAAATAAATAATATTATTAACAAATATTAAAAAATAAAATATGTGTGGAAATAATATTTTATGTATATGAATAATAAAAATAAAAATGTATGATATTTTTAAATGTGTTTACTATTTATTTTAAGAAAATAGATTCTATTTATTCTAAATAATTAATATTTTATGCAAAAAAAAAGATAAAAAATATAATAAAATGCAAAAAATTAAGAAAATATTTTTGTGATTTTTTAATGTTCAGAAAAAAATATTAAATTCAATAAACATAAAAGAAATGAAAAAATATGCAAAATATAAAAATATGCAAAGGGGGTGTGGTTAATAGCCAGGGTGTGTGGAAAGTAGAACAAACAGGCCCAAGGCGCGCCAGGCCCAGGACTTCATCCATGTCCTCCAACCTCTCCCAAACGCGCGCGTTTTTGCTTCAAACCTGTATCTTGCTCTAGCTTGTATAAAATCAAAAACTCATAACACAAAAAATGTAGCTTATGATCTCACGATTCCAGTGATATAAAATTCATGACCTAACTCTAAAAGACCAGGGAGAATTTCAGTGGCCCTAATTCCTGATCTAATTTTTTCAGCATGTTCAACAATCAAATACTCTTAGCTCATTTAATATAAATGGAAAATATGCATATGTACAACTTCACCATGTTGAGGACTACATCTTTGTTTCACAAATCAAAGCTTGAGGATTCCTAAATAGAGAGATAGAGTTTTGAAAAATACCTTGTTCAGCTGAGTTTGGATATGGCAATGTGGGGACTTTGAGTGAGGCCTGAAGATCGTGTGAGTTTCCTTGAAGTTTCCTCAAGCTTTTCCAATGCTCAGCTTGCCTTGAGGATGCTTGAAACTCCCTGTAGAAGTCAAGCTGCAACCTTCCAAAATAAGAATGATGATGTCTGAAATAGGGCTTACAGAACCAGGACAAGGACTTGGATAGTTTGGATGTGATGTAGGGAAGATGTTTGAAGTGTTACAAAGTAAAACGCACGAGCAAATTTTAAGTTGGCAAGTGTTTTGCAGAAGCTGCTTTGTTTTGGGCAGAAATGTGGTTTTTCTGTTTGGGAGAGTTTTGAATATTGTGTATTCGTGTTTTCTGCTTGTAACAAGTTTGTGAAGTTGTTTAGAATGAAGCCAAGTTCACCCTTTATCAGATATACAAGTTCTGATCCCTTTTGCCAATTTGCTTGCATTTGAAGAAAAGTTGAAGTGACTATGCAAAAGGCTTGTACTTGCTTGCTTGTAGGCTGCAGAGAGTTGGTGAACAATGCTTGATATCTGTGGGCAATGCTTGCACAAAAGAAACAGGTCCATGGCTCAAGAATTATAAAGTTGCAAAAAGCTTGCTTTATCAAAATGGCATTGTGCCCTTTATGCCATTTATGGATTAATCTTTTGTACAATGCTCCAAAAGCCAAAATAAAGCCATTATCCATTGAGCTAGCATTTAATTATGGAGTGTAGAAGGGATTAGGACCTGTAATGCAAGGTACAATCATGCTAGGATCTGATTTGCAACTTGAAGCATTGTGAAAATGGCTTGCACAAAAGTGACAAAATGTCATTTTCTCTTCTTCGATTCTCCCTAACCACAAATGATCTTGGAGAGTTCTTGGACATTTTAGAAAGCTTGCAACATGCTCTATAATCCATTTTTGAAATGCATTTTGAGATACCTCTTGGAACTAGGTGAAAAATGTCCATGAAGTTAGGTCAAAAATCTGCCTAGATTAGGGCAAATTTTCACTAAGTTATTTAGTTCATGAACCCCTATTCACAAATTCATATCTTGAAATCCAAACATCTTTTAGAAAAACTTTGTGAATCAAATATAGTAATTAATAAAAATATAAAATATACAAAATATATAAAATTAATTATATTATTTAAACATCAAATTCGTAGAAAGAAACACTATGATGAAAATCTATCTGAATGCACAATCAAATCTTGAGTTTGTTGAGGAGTCTTTTAGGATTCATTATTTTTTATACGTTGTAGATCAAGCAATTGGCTCACTTAATAGAAGATTTGAGCAATATAGCACATATGAGAATATTTTTGAATTTTTGTTTAATATTGAAAGACTTAAGTCATTTTCTGATGAGAACTTGAAATTGTCTCGCATAAATTTTGAAACTTATTTGACACATGACAATTCTTATGATCTTGATGGTGAAATTTTATATGAAGAATTAAAAGTTACCAGAGAGATTTTAACAGTTGAATCAAAATATAGTTTTATGGCATTGAGTTCTCTTAAGATATTCAATTGTTTTTCTAATGCATGCATAGCTTATTGAATAATATTAATTATTCCATTTAGTGTTGCATCGACTCAAAGGAGTTTTTTAAAATTAAAATTGCTAAAATCTTATTTTCGATCGACAACGTCACAAATTATTAAATAGTCTGACTTTAATTTCAATTGAAGATTATTTTTTAAAGAATCTTGATTTTGATCGGATTATTGATGATTTTGCAATAAAAAATATTAGAAGGATGATATTCAAAGATTATTAACGGAAAGCTGTGAGAATTAAAATATTATTAATAAATTCATAGATACATTATAATTAAGTTTTGTCATAATTTTATTATAGATTTAATTTAGTGTAAACTTTTTAATATTAATGTTATTTTTTTTATTTTTTTTAATAATTATATGATTTATAATTAATGATTTATAATATTAACGTTATACGAAGTTTCAAAACGTAAAAAACCTGATTAAAAAGTAAAAAGTAATCCAACGATGTCGAAGGATAAAAACACTTAAACCTTACTTCTGATTTTTTTTTTTTCATTACATCACTGAATATGCTTCTCCGACGAACCACCACACTTTTATTCGCAAAGAATCTCGCCGTTCAACCACTCCGCCGCCACCTCTCAAACCCCATTTCACCCGTAAACCAAGACGATCTCCTCCGTGTCTGCACCATTCTCTACCAACAACAAAACTCGCCCGAGTCACGTCTCCACTCAAAACTCACCTCTTCCAACTTCCAACTCACCCACGAATTCTTCCTCCAAGTTTGCAACAATTTCCCTTATTCATGGCGACCCGTTTATCGTTTCTTCCTTTTCACGCAACAACAGCAAGAAAAAAACCCAACTTTCACTCACTCCTCTGTTTCCTTCAACAAAATGCTCGACGTTGTTTCGAAGTCCCGTAACATTGATCTCTTCTGGAACCTTGTTAACGAAACCGCGGTTCGTCGTTTGGCCAACGGTAAGACCTTTGTGATTGCTTTGAAGACTCTTGGTGGTGCTAGAGAGTTGAAAAAGTGTGTGGAGTTTTTCCACTTGATGAATTCTAATGGGTGTGGTTATAGTGTTGAGAGATTGAATAAAGTTGTTGATGAAATGTGTAGGGTTAAGCTAGTTGAGGAAGCAAAGTTTGTTGTTTTCAAGATGAAGGATTGGATTAAACCTGATGGGGTTAGTTATAAGCATTTGATTAGTGGGTTTTGTGAAAAGGGTGATTTGATTGAAGCTTCTAAGATATGGAATTTGATGGTGGATGAAGGTTTTGTTCCTGAGGTTGATGCTGTTGAGAAATTTATGGAGACGTTTTTCAAGGTTAATCAATTCGGCGAGGCTTTAAAGCTTTTCGAAACAATGAGGTTGAAGAGGATGGATGAACTTGATGTTTCGATTTATAGGCTTGTGATTAAGTGGTTGTGTAAAAAGGGGATGATGAGTCGTGCTCATGAAGTGTTTGATGAAATGTGCGAGAGAGGTATTCAGGTTGACAGTTTGACGTTGGGATATGTTGTTTACGGGCTTCTAGCAAAACATAGAGTTAGAGAGGCTTATCAAGTTGTAGAGAAGATTGCTGTTGTGGATATAAGTGTTTATCATGGATTGATAAAAGGGCTTTTGAAGTTGAGAAGGGCAAATGAAGCGACTCAAGTGTTTAGGGAGATGATAAAGAGAGGTTGCGAACCGAATATGCATACCTATATAATGTTGTTGCAGGGTCATTTGGGGAGGAGGGGGAGGAAAGGGACTGATCCTCTTGTTAATTTTGATACTATTTTTGTTGGTGGTTTGGTGAAAGTTGGTCATTCGAAGGAAGCTACTAAGTATGTGGAGAGGGTGATAAATAGAGGGATGGAGGTGCCTAGGTTTGATTATAACAAATTTTTGCATTACTTTTCGAACGAGGAAGGTGCGATAATGTTTGAGGATGTAGCAAAAAAGTTGAGGGAAGTAGGGCTGTTTGATCTGGCAGACATACTTGAGAGATATGGACAGAAGATGGCAACTAGAGATAGGAGGAGGAATAGATTGCCAATAATTGAAGATACTAATATATGATAAACAAGCCATGTATGTATTATGCAGATTGATGTAAAAAAAAAAACTAAAGTTGGTTAGAAATGAAGCAGTTGATTTATGAAATGTCAGCATTTTTTCTAAGCTTAGTGGTAGTGGAGAAATCTGGCTTGCAAGTGATATATGATCTCAAGGACGTGTTGTTAATGTCTTAATGATATGGTTTTTTCAATGAATGAATGAAATGGTAGAAAAATATTGAATCAAATTTTGCTTTTTGTTTCATCTTTCATGTGATTTATCATCTGTTGTGGCAACAAATGCAAGCAATGAGATTTGTGTAATTTATAAAACTGTAGATGTGGAAAACAGGAAAGGAGGATCCGTCGCTGCTGGAACAGAATGCGGCCAACATAACCGGCACGCCGATGGAACCGCCACCGCTGTCCTGTTACAACTGGCAGTGTGTGGCAGATAGCTCTGAGATGGAAACACAAGCGGCAACCAGGAAGACTTTTGCACAAATTCTAGCTCCAAGGAAGGAAATTCATCCGCCGAGTTTGGTGAAACCATGTTTGAAAGGGGACTCGATATGCATCAAAATAAGTCAGGATGAATATGTTAAAGGAGCAGAGGAATGCAAATTCAATCTCCATGAACGAGTTGTCACGGCAAAAGGGCAAAGAGCTCTCACAGCTAAGGAAATCATTGAGAAATTAAACGCTGTTTGGAAATTGTTTGCTCCGTGGCGGCTAACAACGTTGGGGAAGGGATTTGTGGAGATTTGGTTTGCGAGTGAAGAAGATAAAAGGAGAGCATGGTCGATGGACTCTTACAATCTGAGGCCGGGAATCATTTGATTTTTTCAACAGGAACCGGATTTCAACATAAATTCACAGAAACGCGCTCGCACCCAGATATGGATTAGACTGATGAATTTGCCACAGAAATACTGGAGATATAAGACTCTGTGAAATTGCAAGTGGAGTGGTATTAGAAAGCAAGAAGAGAGAGAGAGAGTTTTCATTGTAACTGAATTTCTATATTCTATTATAAGTTTGTTACAAGTGAGATCTGTTTTTATAGAAAACAGAAGGGTAACCTGCAATAGCAAGGTAAAGAGAAAGATGACCTGCAATAGCAGGTCAGTACATAGAATACATCTAATACCAACCCCCCCCCCCCCCCCCCCCCCCCCCCCCCCCCCCCCCCCCAAACTCATGGGGAGCTGGCAACCCTGAGTTTGTGCCTGAGAAATTGTGAGATGCCAAAGGTTTTATGAGCACATCAGCAACTTGATCAATACCTGGAATGTGCAGAACGTGCACCTGCTTGGCAAGAACCTTTTCCCTGATAAAGAATAGATCAATTTCCATGTGCTTCGTTCTAGAATGCAGAATGGGATTATGGGCCAGCAACACAACAAATTGGTTACCACAGAAAATGACTGGAAGCTGAGTGGAAACAGAGTTCTTGAAGAAGAGTTTGAAGCCACAGTAGATCTGTTGTAGCTTGAGCAAGACTTCTATATTCAGCTTCAGTGCTGGATCTGGCGACTACAGGCTACTTTTTAGACCACCAAGAAACCAGATTGGGCCCAAAATAAATAGCTGCTCCAGAAGTGTTGCGTCTATCATCAGGATCTGACGCCCAGTCAGCATCACAAAAAACTTGCAGTGCAGGTGCCTGGCGAGGAGAACAAGGCGTGAGATGAAGGCCAAAGTTGATGGTACCTTTGAGATAACGAAGGATACGTTTCACAACAACCCAGTGTGATTCCAGAGGGTGAGACATAAACTGGCACACCTTGTTGACAGAGTAAGCAATGTCAGGTCTGGTAATGGTGGCATATTGAAGCGCACCCACTACAGACATGTACATGAAAGGATCAGAAAGTGCGGCTGAGCCAATTTTGGTAAGCTTACAGGTGGAATGCATAGGAGTGCCAACAGCAGCAGCATCAGCCATATTGGTCATGTGCAGAAGATCCCTAATGTATTTGGCTTGAGAGAGAAGAAGAGAGCCATGAGGAGTGGTTTTTGTTGGATTATTAATATTTGTTTTTGAATTAATATTTGTTTTTAGTCAGTTAATAAAACGCCTATTCAAAAGGAGTATCTAGGTTAAGACCTATTCTTTAGCACAGTGTGCTGAAAAATAGGAAGTTCAGTTTTTTTTTTGTAAGGCTATTTATGCAGCCCGTCTTTCTGTTTTTTAATATCAAGCAAAGTTTACAGTTTCAATTACTTGTATTCTTACCTTGCTCAACAATTGGTATCAGAGCCTCGTCAAAGAGGCCTGATCAGATAAAGAGAGGTTTAGGAAACTAAACACGAGAAGGAAAATCCGTGAGAATGACAGAAAGTAGCAGTAGCAGCAGATTTATACAACCAGCAATTCCCAAATTTGATGGTTCCTATGAGCATTGGGCGAAGCTGATGGAGAATTTCCTCCGATCTAAAGAAATGTGGAACTTGGTCGAGGATGGAGTGGTTGTTGGTCCACAAAACCGGGAGCCAACTGATGAGGAGGCAAAAACAATTGCAGAGCAGCAGTTGAAGGACAGAAAGGTGAAGAATTATCTTTATCAAGCCATTGATAGAGAGATCATGGAGATAATACTGAATGATGACACCTCAAAGCAGATATGGGATTCAATGAAGCAAAAGTTCAAAGGTTCAACTAGAGTGAAGAGAGCTCAGCTTCAAACCTTGAGGACTGAGTTTGAAATACTGAAAATGAAAGAGGGAGAATCTGTCAATGCATACTTTGGACGAGCTCTCTCCATAGCAAAACGGATGAAAGCTTGCGGAGAGATTGTGAAAGAAAACGACATTACTCCAAAAATTCTGAGGTCTCTTGTGCCAAAGTTCAACTATGTTGTGTGCCCCATTGAGGAGTCGAACAATGTGGAAACTCTAACCGTTGATGAACTCCAAAGCAGTCTTCTTATCCACGAGCAAAGAATGAAGGGACCAAATGAGGAGGAGCAGGCACTGAAGGTGACACACGAGGATCGATATGAAAGAGGCAGAGGCAGAGGCATGATGAGAGGCCGAGGAAGAGGTAGAGGCCGACAGCTCACGAGTAAGGCTACGGTGGAATGCTACAGGTGTCATAATTTGGGACACTATCAGTATGAATGCCCAAGCTGGGAGAAAAGAGTGAATTATGCCGAGTTTAATGAAGAGGAAGAGATGTTGCTGATGGCACAAGTAGATTCTCATCAAAACAAGAAAGAAGGAGTATGGTTTCTTGATTCCGGATGCTCAAATCATATGTCCGGAAACAAGGAATGGTTCATGCAGTTGGCTGAAGGCTTCAGGCACTCAGTCAAGCTTGAAAATAACTCAAAGCTAGAAGTAATGGGAAAGGGAAACATCAAATTGGAGTTCGGAGGAAGCAATCATATCGTAAGTGACGTGTTTTTTATTCTTGAACTATGCAATAACTTACTGAGTATTGGACAGCTCCAAGATCGAGGCATCACAATTGTAATTAAGCATGGAGTTTGCAAGCTATATCATCCGAGTAGGGGATGCATAATGGAAAGTTTGATGACCACCAACAGAATGTTTCTTGTGACAACAAACATTCTTATATCGGCGCCTACATGTTTCAATGCAAACGTTGATGATCTCGGTGAAATATGGCATAAAAGGTTTGGTCACTTGAGCTATAAGAACCTTGCGCTGCTGCATAACAAGAACTTGGTTCGAGGGATTCCAAAATTAAATGCTTCATCAAAAATTTATACAAGCTGCATGGTGGGAAAACAACATCGAGAAGTTATCCCTAAGAAAAGCATCTGGAGGGCCAAACAACAACTGCAGCTTATTCACTCGGATATATGTGGTCCAATTTCTCTTGAATCACATGGAAACAAAAGGTACATACTGACATTCATTGATGATTTCAGTAGAAAACTTTGGGTTTATTTTTTAAATGAGAAAAGTGAAGCTTTTACTACTTTCAAAGAATTTAAAACTATGGCAAAGAAGGAGACTAGTTTGGCACTGTGTTGTTTAAGAACAGATAGAGGAGGAGAATTCAACTCAAATGAATTTTCAAACTTCTGTAAAGCTCATGGAATCAAGCGACAATTGACAACAGCTTATACACCGCAACAAAACGGAGTCGCAGAGCGCAAGAATCGCACAATTATGAATATGGTACGCTGCATATTAGAAGAGAAGAGGCTGCCCAGAACATTTTGGCCGGAAGCCGCAAAATGGGCCTGTCATGTGCTCAACAGAAGTCCCACATCTGCTGTAAAAGACAAAACGCCAGAAGAGTGTTGGAGTGGTTTCAAGCCTACTGTCGAACACTTTAAAGTGTTCGGATGCGTAGGAAATGTTCATGTACCAGATGCTAGAAGACTCAAACTTGATGCTAGAAGCCAAAAGCAGGTTTTCATTGGATATAGCGAGAAGTCAAAAGGGTATAAAATGATAAACCCTTTAACAATGAAGGTAACAATCAGCCGGGATGTAATCTTTGAAGAAGATGGCTGCTAGAATTGGGGGAGGACAGATAACGAATCAAAAAATGAAGTACTTGATTGGGGTGAAGCTTATGAGGAAACACTTGAGGAATTAGATGAGCATGAAAATGAAAATACCACAAGTGAAGCAGAAGAAGACAACTTAGAAGCAACTGATTCTTCTTCAAATGAATCGGTAACTCCACCAACTTTAGAGAAGAGAGTAAGAAGAGTTCCAACCTATCTTCAAGACTATACAAGTGGAGGAGAACTATCAGAAGATGAGGTATAAAATTTTCTTATGTTTATGTCTACTGATGATCCAATTTATTATGAAGAAGCAGTGAAAAAGAAAAATTGGAGAGATGCCATGGACAAGGAAATAGCAGCAATAAGAAAGAACCAAACCTGGGAGTTAGTTCAAGCTCCTCCAGAAGCAAAAATAATAGGTGTAAAGTGGGTTTACAAAACAAAACTTGATGAAAACGATGAAGTTAGCAAGTGCAAAGCTCGCTTGATGGCCAAGGGTTATGCACAGGAGAAAGGTGTAGACTACGACGAGGTTTTTGCCCCAGTTGCAAGATGGGATACCATCCGAATGGTGATAGCTCTAGCAGCAAGAAATGGCTGGAAACTCTATCAATTGGATGTCAAAAGTGCATTTTTGCACGGAGATCTGCACGAGAATGTATATGTATCACAACCGCAGGGATATGAAGTAAAAGGAGAGGAGAGCAAAGTCTACAAGCTGAAAAGATCACTTTACGGGTTGAAGCAGGCTCCAAGAGCATGGTTCAGTAGGATTGAAAGTTACTTTGTAAATGAAGGTTTCAAAGGGAGCTGCTATGAACACACCCTTTTCATAAAAAAGGAGGAAGATAAAATATTGATTGTAAGTCTTTTTGTTGATGATCTTATTTTTACTAGTAATGATCTGAACATGATGCAAAGTTTCAAAAATTTTATGAAAAGAGAATTTGAGATGACTGATTTAGGCTAAATGAAGTACTTTCTGGGAGTTGAAGTGCGTCAAAATGCGAGAGGAACACGCATAAGCCAAAAGAAGTATGCAGGAGAAGTTCTCGAGAGATTCGGCATGGGAAGCTGTAATGGAGTAAAGAATCCAATAGTCCCTGGAAGTATTAAGTTGTCAAAAAGGGAGGAAGGGAAGCAAGTTGATGGAACTCTTTTCAAGCAGATAGTGGGAAGTTTGATGTATATGACAGCAACCAGGCCCGACTTAATGTATTTTGTATGTCTTATTAGTTGATTCATGTCCAATCCAAAGGAAGTACACATGCTTGCAGCCAAAATAATTTTAAGGTACATCAAGTCAACAATTGATCTCGGCATCTTCTACGGAAAAGGATGCAAAGA